AGCTTTTATTCTCGCTCCCTGCAGCTTGTGTGGGGAAGCCCAGAGCAGCCGGCGAAAGCCAGGGTGATGTGTCCTACACAGCCATGCATTCACTCAGGGCTGGCCAGCTGACACAATTTCCTCCCAGAGCTCAAAGCCTCTGCTCTGAGCATCCAGGGCAGACACAGGATGCTGGTGGGTGTGAGAAAGGGCTTGGCAGATGACTAGCCCAAAGCCCTGACCCAATGGGTAAGTGTGTGTCAGCCTCCAGCATTAATGCCAGGCTTAGAGCAGGCACCCTTTTGGCTCGGATTTTCCATGTTTACTGTAGTTACAGGACAACATTTACAAAGAGAGGGTTACACAAGTGATTTTAAAGAGGCAGGGTGAGAACATAGCCTATTGTTAAGGCTGCACTTTCCACCACCAGACCCAGCTCTGATTTGTTTCCAACACTTCAGCCACTTGCTCTGAAATTGTCCAAACTGTTGAGGAAATTCCTATGCTATTCTGCAGGCCCCCATCCCGTATTATGTACATGTGTACACCCATGCAGATAGAGAAAATGAACCTGAGTGCATACAGACAACCTGAATTTTGTCAGGTCCTCAGGGTGAGCAGTTTGTTAAAATAGTTAGTTCCTAAGAAAATAAATTGGAACCTGAAGAACTATGACAATCCCTTGTCTTAGGTCACCAGCAAGGTTCCAGCAGTTTGGAACCATGAAGCACCACTTGGTCTGACAATAACTGCACTAGACTCTGCTCCTCAGCACCAGCCACAGGAGGTGGGTGACACTGTACACCTTGGCCAGAATTTTACCCATTTATCTGATGACTCCAAGGAAGAGAAGCATGAGAGATTATAGTTGTGGGAAAGGAAAAATCCCTGTATTCTTCACACCTACTGTCCGTCCCAACACTCATCTCAGTGCGGTCTGGGTCTCTACTCTCCCCCATAGTCTCTTTTCCATCCCCTTCTTCCCATCCTCATCTCCTGCAGTCCTTCTGTCCCCTTCCTTTGCTCCCCCTGCCAGACTCTGGCCAAGCAGCTCCTTGCTCTTCTCCCTGTTCAGTAAAGCACAAACATGGGGGCTTACAAACCAAAACCAACAGGCAATAACAGACCCGAGGCTCAGTCCTGACAGCATCATCTCTCTTATCTGTAACAACTCCCAGGGAAGGAGGTTTCCTGGCCTCCCTAGGTGGTCTTGCAATAGTTTTATGATGGTAACAGGATGTTGTCACAACATCCAGCCTAAATCATCCTGGCAAATTAGCAAATCAGTAAATTAAAACTGCCATGGAAATCTGGGACTTTAATAACCACTATTACATGCTGGCAGACTGCTGGATTGCACAATGGGGTTTTTTTTCTGCATTGAATAAATTTAGTTCTTTCAATCTCTTCTCACGTTTCTTAATCTCTTCTCATTGTTTTCTTCTGAACACTTTCCAGTCTGCCTGTGTCCTCCTCTGAGCAGGGCACTCCAAACCACATTTGATGGCACTGATGATGGCTCCACAGTGCCACACATGAGTAAGTCATCTCCCACACCTTACGGAGGACACTCCTTCAAATAAAACTCCAAACAAGATCTGTCTCTCTTGCAATAACTCTTGCAGTTGGTTCATTTGTTATCCACTACAAATCCTCAGCCTTATTTTAACCTATTCCTCTCCAGCTTAAGCCTGAATTGGTAAAAGTGCATTTTGCTTTCTCCTTTGCAAATGCAGCACTCACTGTTTGCTTTTATCTCTTATCTGGATGTGCTCTCCAATTTCTTAAGGTCATTCTGAACCCTGACCCTGTACTCTCAAGTGCCTACAATCCCTCCCGACCTGTTATCATCTGAGTGTTATAAACACACCTCCATCTTCCAAATCATGACTGAAAATACTGCAAGTTTCCCCCCAGAAAGTGACCTTGCTGATACACCAATTGTTACTGCACTACTTGGATCAGTGAAGGGATGTAAGTGCAAGAGTTTTCTAAGCTTCATTCTCAGCAATTTCTAAAAAAAACCAGACATTAATTAAATACTGATTCCTCTGGTAAAGGTAGGATGCATTCAATTCAATAGGAGCTAAGTAAGACAGTGAATAAATGCAATGGGAAGGCTATTTCCCAGTGAACTCTGTTCCTGAGGTCAGCCAGCTACAACTTCTCAGTCACAGGCTCAGACAACCAAAGCCATCGGATGAACCCAGCAGCACAACCTCATCCATCCTGCCACGCGAAGACAAAAATTGAGCAAATAATGAATCACAACCAATTTCTGCGATCAACACAAGAGAAGCACATCAGGGTACAGTTCATTTTAAACTGCTGCTTTACTTTTATGATGCTGGAGCCACAGGCTCCATTTTAAATTATTTTAATATCGTAGCATGCAGAAGCCAAACCAAATTTCTCATCAGAGTTAAAAATAATTCAATTTTAAAAATGCTAAAGTTTCGTTTTAATAGATGACATCAAGTGACTGTCCCAGCTCTATTCAAGATTCCCAAACTCAGCAGGAACATAAGGACCAGGAGAGTCTCCACCAGGATAAGCACCCACTGCCCACCATGCAAGGAGCCTGGGAAGTTCTGGTTACTGAGTTTTATACCTGAACAGATACAACTTCTGAGAAAAGATTCTGGAAATTTAAGAAGTAGATCATTTAAAAACTCATTTTAATGGGAAAAAACATTTTTCCATTATTTTCTCTTCAGTGCTTATAACCCTACAGACCATTATCTTCCTAAACATTTTTTAACAGCAGCTTTTCCACGACATGTAAGAATCTTCTGAAACAACTACAGGAGAAAGTGTGAAATCTCACATCTGTAACACTGGCAGCACACATCCAGCTAATTCTAAAAATGCTTCACAGTTTTTCATTCTTCACAACTCAGCTTAGAAGGAAGAGTTTTCCCCCTACTCTCTCCAGAGTACTCAAGCTACTGTCCTTCAGCCTGACCGAACTATATAAGAAATTGCACTATTTAAATTCCAAGACTTTTTTTTTTAAGTAACTTGTGCTTATAAAAAGCAGTGTGCAAATTTCTCACCCATAAAACAAGAGTTAACAAGTATTCCCAATATCCAAAACTGCCGACAGCACCAGCGAGGCTGCAAAAATACCTGCAGCTCACAACCAGGGGCAAGCAACAACACTTCTATCTCCAGCAAGTTAAGAAAACCACCTTTACTAACCACAAAATGGCTCTGTAATGAGCACCTGAAAGGCTCCTGGCTACAAAAAGAAGCAGCACTAAATAAAGCAGAGTCAGGACGTGGCAGGAGAGGCGCAAAGCGCGGTGGTGGCTTTCACCGGCCCACATGTGTGAATTAAGCTCTATTTATAAGCCTTCCACTCCTTTTTGGTTGGGCTTTTTGTTGGGTTGGTTTTTTTTTTTTTTTTTTTTTTTTTTTTAATGACCTTAATATAGTGCAGTTGTTATTTTGTTTCTGTTGAACGTAGCAACAGGAAACCCTGTCAGTCCTGCAGCAAACTTTCCATTCCCCTGGCACTCCCATTCCTGCCTCGGAAAAGCCAGATTTCTAAAGAGGTGTTTGACAGGGTGGGAGGGAGAGGAAGAAGAGAAGAAAGCACACACACAAAACCCAAAATGCCGGTAAAACATGCAAAATGGAAGCCTAATTCAAATTTTTTTTTTCTCCTTTTTTGAAAGTAAAAGGCTGTGTCCTAAATTGCATTTTCTAAAAATTTCTTACTTCTCTACCAGATTTAGAAGTATTGGTCAGGAAAATGATCTTTAATAAAGGGTCTGTTAAAAAAAAAAAAAAATCAATAGCATCTTTACACTCACACATTCCAGTAATGAAAGACTTCCATATCAGACAGCACAAATTTTAGCTTGGAAAGTTATTTTCTCTAGTCCCTGGCTAACTCACCAAGCAAACAGCTACAGAAATTAAGCCTTAACTTGTTAAAAACATAATAAACCTGATTTTATTACAAGCTTTGGCAAGACTGTTCTGCTGTTCTAAGAGCTTTGCTGCATGATGAGCAAAGATTTTTGGAGCTCCACCCTACAGTGTAAACTCATCCCCACATTATTTTCTCTTTTAACAGCTTCATAATGGTAGGGGAAGATACAAACACAGCTGCTCAAAGGTAACGTGCTCCAACACAAGGCTGCCATCAATTTGCCATTTACAAAACATTTTTTTAGGAACATGAAACCACACATAAAATACAGGAGCAAATACAAATCCATCTAGGAAAGGTAACACCAAAAAAAACCACAGCTATTGACAAAGCAGAATTTGTATTAGTGGTATTTGAAATGAAAATTATGTTCATGTAAAGCTAAATACCAACCTTTTTTTTTTAAATGACAGACAGTCCTTAAATATGGCGAAGCACAAGTAATAAAATACAATACCAATGGATTCCTGATTCCTGGCATGACCTTTTTATATTTCACTGAATGAGGAATATGCATTTCCCCCCACATTTGATCCCTACATATCCTCCCATCATTCATTTTTCTTCCAGCTAAGGCACAAACACTCCCAGCCCATGATGCCTTTAGACCTCAGAGTCTGTGCACACACCAACATAAAACACAGCCACAGTTCCTTCTGCCAAAACCTCCCTGCAAACACAGAGCACCAGAAGGGATGGGCAGACTCTCCAGGACCACCCCAGCAGCAGCAATGCAGGGACCTTGAAGGTGCTGCTGGCCCCACACAGCACCACCAACCTCAAGTGCATTCCAGGACGTGGCTTTTGTCAAATCATACACAAATCTTGGTACAACCTTGCCCCATGAGGAAACTCTTGGCTCAATCTGTCACAGGTTGAGAGAACACCAATGTGGCCTGAATCCAGTGGTTGAAAATGCAAGGGCTAAAAACACCCAGGCTATCTTTAAAAGGCTAAAGCAACATCACTGGGCATCATTCAGCTTTGCAGGGGCCATAGAAAGGAAACCAGCAGGTCACAGTAGCAGTAAAGTTTCTTTATAAAGCACAACAAAGGACAAGGTGACAACACCTGCACTCACCACTTCCCCTGTGCCGTCCTTCTGAAAATCCACCTCGTCCTCAGTTTTCATTTCCAACATCCCTGTGCAAACAGAAGGTCCACAAAGGTTATTTTAAAACAAATTTCTTTCATTGCTACTAACATTTTTTTTGTTTACTCAAGCCAGTCCCCTCCTCCACCCAAAAAAAGGAGAAGAAAACTCAGCCACCAAGTCCCTTCAACAAGTCCATTTGAACCCCTACAAGGCCATTTGAGTTCCAAATTCTGGTTTCATTGCTGACTTCACTGCTTTCTTGCTATTCATTTTAACAACTATCATATCTGGGACTGAAGGAAACAGCAGCAAGCATAGGGTGAAACTCCTGACAACCTGTAGGTGAGGCCAAGCACATCTGCAGGTATTTGTTCATGTATTTTCTTGGCTCCCATTCATCTACATAAAGAATCAAACTTTTTGCTGTTTTTCTCCTTACCATAACCCAAACATAACACAAGAAACCAGCCTTGTCTGCCCTCAATATCTATTTTAAGCATTGCAAAAAAAAAAAAAAAAAAAAATCACAAGCTGCAAAAACTTGACCCACCTTCACTGCCCTATGGATGAGAGAATTATCCCCCTGGACTAGGAAAGCAAAACTTTTGCTGCTGGAGTTTACAAAGTCCCAGCTGACTTTCCCCTTCTCCACACTCCCATGATGGTGTCACCACCACAGTTGTACAAATTTCATGTCCCAGCTGCTTCTTCTGCCCAGCCAAGTTTTCATTAGTCACCATTCCCCAGGGATTCCCCCTGCTTACCTTTCTCTGGCATGAAGTCAACTTCATGATTCTCTTTCAACCCTAAGCTAAGGACTCTCATGACACACAGGACACTTAGAGAGGAGTGAAGTGATTTGACCAAAGCCTCTCAGATGGAGAGTGGCTGCGTCAGGGCTAAACCCCCCTCTAATCCCACTCCCTCTCTCATTTCTCCTAAAAACAAACACTGGATGGATGACAACGCCTTCTTAAGGGCGACGTATGCTTGCAGTGAGTTTAGCCCTACAGGGATTTAGTAAGAGGAGCCTCCCATCTTCATGGGGAAATCGTCCTAACAATTGTCACTAATGGTTTTCCACTGCCTTTAATGTCTACCCTTTTTTTTGGGACCATCTGGTTTTGCAATGATTTTGCCTCGATTGCATGAATTTGTGGGCAGACTGAAAAATCAGAGATAATGCTACAAATTTCTGTGAGTTCCGTTTGCTGGGAGAGGTGCTCGGGGTCATGGCAATGGTTGAGATCCTGATCCAAAGACAGAACATGCAAGTAAGAAACATTTGATGCACCGAGGATGGGAGAAGCAAGCTCACCCTGCTGGATGAGAAACGGAAGATGACGACATTTTGCCCTCAGGATGAAATTCAAGGCAATTTTTTCACTCTGTCACTTCTTCCTAAATTTCTGTTATGAAATATCCCAAAGGAAAAGCACTATAAAGCTAACACAGAGGTCTCTGGCTGTAGTGCCCCTTATTGCAAGTGTGGCACCGTTAGTAACATTTGTTACCTGCTCATCCTGCCACTCTAACAGGGGAAAGAAATCCCTCCAAAACTTTGCCATAGGGAAAATACTACCAATAAGAATGACATAAAGACTCATAAGGTGATATTCTTCTGTCAAGGAATATTTTCGTGAAATGCTGAGATCTACAGGAGATATTTCTCCCAGGAGAATAGTTAAGGAGCAGGAATTGTTGCAGTAATTTGTTATATTTAAGACCCCAACCATACAATCTAACCTTGCTTGGTTTGGTTTCTGCCAAGAAACTGCAGCTACTCTCAAGTGTTTTGTCAGCACAAACCCATGGTAACTTCTGTCTTCTCTTCTCTTCTCTTCTCTTCTCTTCTCTTCTCTTCTCTTCTCTTCTCTTCTCTTCTCTTCTCTTCTCTTCTCTTCTCTTCTCTTCTCTTCTCTTCTCTTCTCTTCTCTTCTCTTCTCTTCTCTTCTCTTCTCTTCTCTTCTCTTCTCTTCTCTTCTCTTCTCTTCTCTTCTCTCACCCTGCCAGGTTACTGTGGTATGATTTCATACTCTAACTCCTTTCATTTTTAATGAGGAGCATCTACCTGCCTGACTTGCAGATAATGAGCTTGCAGAACCCATTACTCCGCTCTAATGCACTTCTGAGTCTAAAGCTAACAGTAGGAGGAGATGCCTCAGGAAAGCAGGATCTACCTTCATCAGCTTCTGTCAGGGTTGTGACCAATCACCAGATACCTGTCTGGATAAGGAAATGAGCCTTTTGAAGTCTTTGTTTGGGGGTAGGTGGAAACTAAGCAGAGGCAATGAGACAAACAGGTGTATATTTGGGAGCAGCTTCACAATATAAATAAAAAAATTAAAGACTTCAATGATCTGGAGTAATGCCAACAGCAATTATCAACTGATTACATCGCTGATAAATTACCATGACAATAAACCCCTCTGACTACACTGAGTTTCTGAGAAATGGCCTTGTGACCTACACTTCCTTTGGGAAGGTTTTATTGTATTCCACCAAAAAAAGATGTGATTCATCCTGAGAACTGACGAGTCTGACTCCAGCATGGATACAAAATCCTCTGTACAAATCCAGACCTCAGAGAAAACTCCTCAGAACTGGCACGGCAAAAAAAAATATTGAAGGTTGCCACTTAAAAAAAATTGAAGGTGCTACCCAAGGCTAGACACCAACATGAAAAATGTACACAGCAATAATTATAAACAAGAAATCAGTTCTATTGAATTACTGCCATATCAGAGTTCTAGACGGTGCTCTATAGGAGATCAGTATCAGATATATTCCAAATAGAGAGCCTGGATTCATAACAGTCACTTGCCTCTGCTTAAAGCCAATTTTTTACTTGGGCTTCCCCAACATTTTGATTCAAAATAATCCTAAAGTACTTCAAGTGAAAATACTACAATTTAAATTTGTTTTGTGTGGCATCTCATTGCACATAAACAATTTCTGCTTAATGGTCAGACCATTTTATTGCAAGACCTCTCAGCCCTAAATCCTTATGTATCTTAAATCAGTAACTCCTTTTTGTCTCCCCTTGCCATATCCTAATACAGAATGATGACTTAACATTACTATCCTACTTTAGCTACTATCTTATTGGACTGTCTGGTCCTTTTTCCTTTTCAAACCTCACCTAGACAGTGTCACAGCTCCAAGAAACCAACCAGAGGTAAAGACCTGGACTGTACAGATAGAGCTGGCAGAGCCAGAGGTTCCTAGGAAAAGGAGCCCAGCCAAGTTCTGACTTACAGCCACTCCCATCTATTGAACTGTCAAACAAACACAGCATTAAAACATGTTCCTTCTGAAAACAGCTTTCTAATCCTTTAGATCTTTCTACTTATTTACTAGTGATCTCTTGACTCATGTTTACTGGTTATCTCCTGACGCACAAGCATCCTAAAAACCCTGAACTCAACAAAAAATGGATTTGTTAGACCCTCCACTGATACCCTCCTCCCCTCCAAGCCTTTCTCCTGCCCTCAATTATTCTGCTGTCACATAGCAGAACAAACTCTCTACCATCACCCCATGCTGCACTTAGACTGAAGAAACATCTCTCAGCATTAGAGCAGTGAAACAGCTTTATAACTTCACAACTTCATGATTTATATCATGGCAGATTTTCTTTTAATCATTTAAATGCTTTGTTTGTTTGTTTGCTAAGTGCCGGGAAAGCAAGAGTCACTATATCATTTTCTCAGAGCAAAGAAAAAATGGCAACTGAAAAAGTTCAGCTGCTTCCATAGAACAGCTGCCTGAACAGGTGGGATACACAGATCAGATTAGCTCCATGCTTCAGTACCAAATTCACCTACAATTAAATCCCAGGCTGCAGCAACAAACCCATTTCTTTTTCATTCAATGTACCCCTTTATCTCCCTTCCTGGAGTTACCTGGTGATGTTTTCCATTAGCTCCTGCTGCATGGACCCGAAGCTTCTCTGCTGTCCCCCAAGTCCCACCGCTCTCTCCCATCACCACTCATCCATGGGGAACGCCAGTCCCACCTCCCAGCCCACAGGAGCCAGTAAAACTCATCCCCCGAGTTCCAGCACTGCTGAAATGCACTGGCAAACACCACCAGCTGCTCTGCCTGACAAAAAAGCTCTGAAGGCCGGAAAAGGCGGCGGGGGTAGGGCTCATGGCTGTTTTAAATGACCTAATGCTGCCAATTAGGAAGCGGCTTCGGGCAGTTCAGAGGGACACTGGCAGCTGGCTCAAGCAGACAAGCAAAGAAAATCAGGAGAGCCCCTTTGTACCCACTGGCTCCACATCAGCAGAAATAAAGGGGAAAAGCCAAGGAGTAACACCAAGGAAATAAACCCTCATGCTCATATGGAAGTTTACAACTTGAAGATAAAGTAATCCAAACAGCTCAAGCCCATTCATTTCTTCTCCAGTGACGATTTACGTGCTAGAAATTCTTCTGTACAAATTCATGGGAGATGATCCTCTGTTCTTATCTCCAGTGCCAGACAAGCAACATGCATTTGAATTGAAAGTTTTTATATGGAACTACGAATTTTTTTGTTTCCCAGAAGAAAAACCTCAAACACTTCCTCTCCAACACAAGTATCCAGCTCTTACTTCCTTTCCTTTGCTGATGACATGACAGAGACACGCCTACAAAGAATAAACTAAAAAGTAGAAAACCAATTGACTTCTTCCTACCTGTAACAGGCTCAGCTCCTTGCACTGCCAGGCTGACATTTTTCTTCTTTGTTGAGGAACTGAAATCCATTTGTCCATTAAAGCTGGCTCTGGCATCCACTGCAGTCTGGGGCTCAAGCCCCACTTTTTCCGCGGCAGGTGCTTCAGGAGAACAAGGTGTCTCTGCTGCAAAAACCACTGCATCAAAACTTTTTACCATTTTAGTAACTTTATCCAGAGAAGAGGCATCATTAGCCGATACCAAACTCTTCACTCCCACGTTTTCCAGCGACTCCACAGCCTGCAAGCGGCAGGAACACGGCGAGGACACTGCAGGTACAGCTTGGCTTGGCTTTCCATCGGGCTCAGCCAAGCCCTGAGGCCCTGGCAGGGCAGGAGCAGTGTCGCTGTCACCAGCCGGGCAGACGGTGTCGGTGCTGGAGTCGCTGTCGCATGTGGGCTCCTCTGCGATGGGCTGCAGCGCTGCCCGGGGCAGCACGCTCTCCGTGTCCTCCTGCTCCCCATCATATGCTGCAACAGGGGCCATGCTCACTGGCCTGGGCACCTCCTTGCCCTCACAGGCATCGCTCGGGGCTCCCGCCTCTGAGGCACCCGTTAACTCAGGGGTGCTGCTGGGGGGGCAGATTCCTTGTAGGGTTTGAGTGGGGTTTTGCTCTTGGTTCAGCTCAGCATTCTGACAAGGGGCACTCTCTGCACTCACCGACTCATCTGCTGATGCAGGTCCATGCATGGTGCCTTCTGCTCCTCCAGTCTTGCAATCTTCTTTGGGTTGGTCCGTCACTTTCAGCCCAGCATCCACATTGCTGCTGCCCACCACAGGCCGCCCCAGACTGCAGGCAGAGGGTTTCACAACAGCAGCAAGAACTTCCTCTGACAAAACCTGCTCGTTGCCATTCACACGAGCCTCCTGCTCAGGTTCAGCTTTGCCTCCTTCAAGTTGCTGCGAGTGGCCCTGCCCAGGGGAGCCCTCGTCCCTGGCACGGTCCCCGGGCCAGGCAGCAGCTACCCCACCATGCTCCCCACCGTGCTGCCAGGCGAGCTCTGCCGAGCTTGCCCTCGCCACCACCGCTTCCTGGTTTTGTTTAGATTCCTCATGATGAGTTGCAGAGGGTGTGCCTATTAAATTATCCTCAGCACAGTCTGCGCCCTTGGCACACGGAGCTGATCCAGGGTCATTACCTTGCAGAGCTGCCTCCTGCCCGGGAGGTGCCACTGCAGCATCTCCCTCCTGACTCACAGCCAGCCCCTCTCCTCTGGGTAGGGGAGAGGGCGATTCCACCTTGCTGCTCCTCCCCTCCTGCTCAGAAGTGCTTTCTGCTTCCTCTGCTCCAGCCTGGGCAGGCTCTTTCTCTGCCAGGCCTGTGCTCGCATCCTCTGGAGGGAGTGATGCAGGCTCACGTTCCTCACGTTCACCCTGCTGAGTAGTGTCTGGTTTGAAGCTGTTGCCCATTTCACCTTCAACACCACTTTGAGCAGCAGAAGGAGCACAGGCGGCAACTTCCTGACCACCGCCTGCAGAATCTTTGCTTCCTCCATCTCTGCAGCTGCTGGTATCAGTTCCTACTGGCTGCTTTTCACTGCTCTCCATGGCTGCAGCCCCACGGTCAGCAATCTCACCACTCTCCTGGCAATGTGCAGCTTCTGCACCACTTTCATTAGATCCACCATCTCTGTTTGCAGGTTCAGCAGCAGGGCCATCAGTTTCTACATTGCCTTCCAGTGAGGGCAGGCTGGATTTTCCACCTGTGCAGCCTGCTTCCACTTGCCCTTCTTGCTCCCCACTCCCACTGCTGCCATGGACTTCCAAACCAGAAGCAGGTTCTGCTGTGCATTCAGGCACCTTCACTCCATTCACCGCTGGCAATGCTTCTGCAGTGCTTGCAGTGACCTCCTGCCTCGCTGTGACACTGGCATCACCCTGGCTTCCCGTGAAGTCACCGTTTACCTGAGCAGAGCACGAGTCCACGTCAGTCCCTTTGTTACTGCCGGTCTTGCAAAGGTCAGCAGAGACACTGCCAATGTCACCACCTGCATTTGCACCGTCACAGGCTGGCACCACTCCCACATTTGCATCCTCCCCATCCGAGCACTCAGTGCCATTCAAACCACTGAGTAAGGGCTGAGCAGCGCTGGATGACTCTTCCTTAGCTGGGTATTTCTCTTGCAGGTTTGCAGTCCTCTCACCAGGCTCTGCCATCCCATCCTCTGCCCGCCGCTGGCCCTTAGCCCTCTCAGGTGCCCCGGCACAGTTCCTGCACTCAGTCTGGCCCATGGCCACATCCAGGCCCTCTGAGGAAGCTGAGGCTTCACCTGCAGCAGCAGTGCCAGCAAACTCCTCAGCAGTTTGCACTTCCTGATGGGCGCTGTCTGCGGCACCCACACCAGCTTGATCCAGAACAACTCCAGCCGATGTCATTCCAGCTTCTTCATTTGTATCTCCAGAGGATGGAAGACTTACAGCACCATTTACACTTGCACACAGGCTCACAGTGCAGTCCTCATCTGATACAGTCCCAGAGCCCTCTGCAGATCTTAGCCCCGCCTCTCCTTCCTTTTTACACAATATCTCTGTGTTTTTACTTTCACAGAAGCTTGCTGGGCTGTTTGCACCCCCTGGGCTGACTATATCTTTTGGTGCATCACTAAAAGCTCCCAGACTGCTGCTGTTGCATTTGTCCCCCTGATGGGTTTGGTCTGAGAGTTGCCTGATGTCCAGGTGAACCAGATCAGATGGGTTTTCCTGCCTTTCTTCTCTTGCCATTTCTTCTAGGCTCTGAGGTGTGGTGGTCATATGACCCTCTGCTCCTTTAGTACACTTGTCTCCAGAATCTCCCAGTACAGGCTCTGTCTGCTGCCTTAAACTCTGTAACGAGACACAAAAGCACAAAAATCCAGGTTTATTCTGTCATGCAGTTACTCAAGACCTGTATCTACCTAATCCAATTGCACAAGAATCCAGTTCCTGGTGTAATCCAGGAGAGAGCTACAAATGCACGGCAGTGGATATTTTACATGCTGCTTTATTAGAAGGAGGTAATATTGAAATTATTAGAATGAAAGAAACATTGGTTGAAAAGAACATCTAAAGGTCATCTAGTCCAACCACCTGCCTGAAACTGGCCTACTGCCACTGCAGCATCAGGTCAAACATGACTTTACCTTGCCAAACCTCCAATGATTGAGTACCCACAGCCTCTCTGGACAATCTGTTCCCATGCCACACCACTCTCCTATGAAGAATTTTCCCTAAAGCCAGCCTGAACAACCCAAAGCTGAAATTTGTCTCTCTACCCCCCTGCTACACCATCTGCCATCACTGAAAAGAATTATAATATTGGTAATTATTCTTTGAAAAGCTCTAGTCTCAGTTCTCGAGTGCACTTAAATTCAATATCAGTAAAGAGCAGAACTCAGTCCACCAAATAATGCAAATATATACCAGCCTAGTCCCAAAGAACTTCAAGCAAATGCTGCTTTAAGAGCACCTTCAGATCCCCACCCAGCACTCCCCAGCTCTTTGCCAGCATTCCTCACTTTTATTTCTATGGATGGAAATGCTACTTCAGATATGGGCACTGGCAGGCAATGTCCAAACACACCAACTGTCTCCTGCTCTCAGGACTGAACTAATAATAATCTAATCTATTCCTGAGAACTGCAGGCATAATTAAATATCTGAAATTTATTTCCTAACTGGAAATAAAAATTTCAGAATTATGACATATTATTAAAATTAATACGTGCATTATCATGGAACAGTAGGATCATAATCAATTCCTCTCTAATCTGCTTTTTCCTTCCAGAGCACCTGCTTTGTCAAGCTTTTATAATTGGATACAAACAAACCTTTACTTAAAAAGAACCCTCTGTTTCAGTATTTCCTTTCATATTCTCATCAGTGTAGAAGAGACCATATCAATGTTCACACTGGTTTCTCACTAAGTGCCTAGGACTCTCCACATATGTAAAACTCCAATGAACTATGTAAAATCTGAATTTTTCTTGCACTTATTCAAAAATTATTCAAAAAAATACATGCATACTAGAAGTCTAACTTGAACAGCTCCCTGCAAATGCTGTTTTTAGTTATCAGAGAAATAGAATTTCATACGAAAACTGTCAGCTTAAACACCATGATAATTAAAGCAGCCACTATGTTAACTGATGCATTACTGAGAACTTCTGGGTATTGCATATAGTAATAGTGACTAAAATCATCACTGCTGCCTTAAGGATATTGCATTCACTTGTCTTTCCACACTCTGAGGTTTACAAACACTGAGCAGTGCCACAGGCTCACTGAGTCACACACCACTAAATGTACTTCTGGTGTTTGCCACCAGTCTCCCTGCTATTCCAAATAACCCTGCTGCCCAGCTTCCATACATGCTGTCAGCTATGCCTCCCTGGTTTTGAGGCATCCCAAGCCAGGTTAGCACTGGAGGCAGCAGCATGGCATTTCCATCCCTTGTGTAGCATCAGGGATGGGATACGGGGCTCCACGTGCAGTGGTACCCACAGGCTGCAGATATTTTTTGCAAGGGCAAACAATGTGCCAAGCCTTTGGTGGCTGTAACCCCACATCAGAGCATGGAGACTGTGCTCCTGGATCCTAGCCAGGATGGACAGACACACCACAGAGACACTTGCTTGGGAACAAGGGTTTTCAAAAGGAGGGGCCGCAGCAGCCCCAGCATCCTCAGAGTGAAGTCACTCTGCTGATAGCCGGAAAAATACAGCCATCACCAAAGGAAGCCAACAGGCTTTCAACTGACCTAAAATAAACCTAAATTAAATAATTACAGGGCTGCTTTCCAAATTCAAATCAGATTAGATGTGAAGTAAAACAGTGGTGGAAAGCAAAGTCTATTTCTGATTTCACTGTCAGGAAAAATGTTTCCAATCTGGCATTTGCATGAGCAAACAAGCAGTGAGCTTGCCATGGCTTAGGGTCTTTTGATGGAAAGGGGAAGAGATTTCACAGTTAGCCTGGATTTGCCACTCATGCCAGCCCTCTTGAGACTGGGAGTAATTAACATCTCAGGTACTCAGGGAAGGCTGAAAATGGCTCAGCATAGCCCATTCCTCTGCTCATTCCCCCAGCCCACTGGCTGCACACAACAGTTCTCCCCTCCCTTAGTTAAAGCAACAAAAATATCCTGTTGTTTAGATCCTGCACCTCTGCAAACCCGGATATGTGATCTGATGAAGGAACACCCACAAGTGATGCCAACGGTGACAGACACGTGGGTGTTTCTGAGAAACGGCACAAAAATCTTGTGATGTTTCACCTTCCCAACTCAGACCATGTGGCATGGATTTTAAAGCAGCTGGAGAAAGGCCTTACAAAGCTCCTGTGGTCCAACCACCACAGAGATCGAGAGGAGCACAGTGAAGGGACCATTATGGACACAAACCTTCTGTGGCCAAGGCAGGCTTGCCCTCTGAGTCCTACATTGAATTGCTACTGAAACAGACATTTTTTTCCATCACCCGTCTCAGAAACTTTCCTCCTGTCTGACCCTGAACTTTCCCATCTGAACAGAGATGTCCCCAGTGTGCTTAAAGCCCACACCCCCAGCCTCACTCCAGAGCCAGCCTCAAGCTGCCCAGTGTCTGCCAGGCAGGCAGAGGGTCAGCGTGTCTCCGGGAAGGTGTTCCTGCCCATCCAAGTGGGTCCAAAACTAACAGATCAGGCAGGAGCTGGGAACAGAGAGAGGCAAACCAGAGCTAGTGTTACACAGCCCTGAGCCTGCCTCTCTTCTGAATGAGAACATTTACTGTCTAATACAGCTTAATCAGATCTCCCCATGCTCAAATAAGGAGCAAGTGGACAGGTGTCCACCTGGATGCTTGATAATGAATCCAGAGAAATCTCTTAGGGAAACATGCCCTGAAGGATGCTGACATGTAGAAGTCCTCCCCAAACAGCCAGATCTGCTCCTCTTCCCTCCCCTCAGCCTTTTGCTCACCTGGTGCTGGTGGCTCTGCATGTGCATCTGCAGGTGCTGAATGTCCCTCTCCCAGCTGGCTGCTGTCCCCTCCTTGGCCTCAGCTGTCAGCAGGTACACGTTGAGCCCGCGGTGGTGCTTCACGCTGTAGTCCCCCGAGTGCACGGTGTGAGACAGGGTGCTCCACGAGTCCGGCTCCCTGGCTCCCTCCCTGCAAAACAAGGGTGGGTTAGAGTTCCCTGGCTCCCTCCCTGCAGAACAAGGGTGGGTTAGTGGGCAGGCAAGCAGGGATCCTGCACGGCAGGACACGCACGCTCTCCTTCACTCTGGACAGCATCTAACCATGGGAGCGAGCGGAGCATGGCACCAGCTCCAGGGCCAGACAGACAGATACACACACACTCCTCAGTCTTGAAAATTAATGTGATTTAGCGCTAATGCCAGCCACAAGCTTTATTTCACAAGGTACTTCTCAGGTAGAGATCAGTGGTTTTTACCCCAGACTGTGACAGACTAGCAGCTAAGGGCATGACAACTGCATTTTAAATCAGATTTATCACAGGTGAAGATCACCAAAGCAGCTGTCACAGAATAGCAGAGACCTGAAAGGAAAAACAGCAAAGGGATAAGTTGGAAGGAATGAAAACTATCATGGTACAACTTCTACACCAAAGCCAGCACGCTGCTCACAAACACCCAACAGCCATTGAATTGCAGCAATTTTATCACTCCTGAAATGAACTGAACCTGCTCTGTGAAACTGCCTCTGTGCAAGATGCTCTCAGTGTTGTGAGACAGCTGTTTTTCTGCAGCACTATCATGGGCTTTCTTTTTACCAATCCAAAGGAAAGAAGGGAAAAATGCTGCAGATCAGAATGAAAAATAATAGGTAAATGAAGTCAATAGAAATTTCTGTTCAGTCCTCTCTTTTTGAACATCAAACCCTGATTTTGCACAACTCAGTGTGATTCCTCAGGTCTCACTGAGCTGCACAGCAGCTACACTGGCCCACTGAGGTGGTGAGCAAACACTGAGGTGCTCACCACCTTCAGGTTCAGATTTCATTTTGAATCAGAACTGATTCAGGAAACACAAAATCTGTTTTGATCATCCCAGACAGTGCAGCTTGTGTACCACCCCACCAAGCCCTACATCCCCCAGGAGAGACATGGAGCCAAACTCCAGGAGTGTTACATGAACAGGGGATGAGACTGACCTGCTCAGGGGTGCAAGAAATGGGAATTTCCTTCTCTTCCTTCTACCAGGGATGCATCTACTGACACCCAACCCCACCTATGAGCTGGGTTGGGAATTGGACCAAATGACCTTTAAAGGCCCCTTCCAAACCAAACTACTCCGTGCTTCTATGATGTCCCGTCCCTGCTGCAGAGACTAACCATTTTCAGATCTTCCTTTCCTGCCCAGCTACAAATTTCCTTGGAAGAGGCAGAGCTGTGATGGTTTTTAAATAATTAGGACTTCAATAAATACATAAACACAAATGCATGCCATCAACCAGGTAAATCTACACATAGTTTTCAGAATCTTTGCTGAGAAGTCTTGCTTTAAAATTTGCAAACTTTTCTTATGGGCAAGGGCCCCCTAGCAAGCCACAGGGCTATCTCTCTGGGAAGCCAAGCAATCTAGAAAGCAAAGTCATAACAGGAATGAGCACAGCAGGGTGGGGAAACAGTCAAATGGTTCATCAGAGGCAGAGAAATCTGTGCAGCCAATGGTGGTGGCAGTGGCTGCCCCTGCTCTGCCCCAGCACAGCCACCCATCCCCTTCCGTGACTCATTTTGGGTTAAATCTGCAAAGAAACTCAGACAAAGGATTACTATGGCTTCCACCATCTGTCTCATGACTTGACTTCAGCAGAATTACACTTGATTTAAGCAGAATCAATATTTCCACAGAGAAAGAGAAGGAAGCAGCCAGTTTCTGGTGGTGATTGGTATAAATCCATAGAGGCACTGAAGTCAACTGAGCCATTACAAGTAACTAAAGCAATGACCTTCCTTTATCAGGGAAACACAGACATTTCTGTCTGGAGTGTTTTTCTCTTCAGCTGTCATGTATGAGAAACTTGGGGCCACTCTCAGAGCCCAACGAGGCAGTGAGCACAAAGCCCAGAGTCACCCACTCATGGGGACAACAGCAGCGGGATTAAAGAACTGCTCCCCTTTCTCATCAGCTTCAAGGGCCCTCACAGCATCTCCAAATCAGCACCCACAAAGCTGCCTGCATGACCTGTGGAGCCTCAAAGGGCCCTCAGCAACTTCAAAAGGCTCGGTCTGGAGCAAGATGACAGGCAGAGTCCCCTGCAACACTGGATTTGTGTCCACCCCTCCAGCAATCTGCAACCTTCACACGGCCCAGAGGGATCAAACAGTCACTCCTGCTTACAAAGACAGCAGTTTCTTTTCATATTCAAGCTGCCAGTCTGTGTTACACTTCATGAAAAGTTTTAAACCTTTTGAGAAAGCAAGAAGTTTCTCACATCCAGCCAAGTACAAACTCTAAGCTCTCATTTTTAATAGCAGTCACCTTTGTTAAACGAAATTAAGCAGTGAGATAGAGAATGGTTCAATCTATTGCCTCCTTCAAACCATCCCTTTCATACTCTGCCCCATCCCAGCACTAATGGTCTGAAGCAGAGAGGACAAATGAGGATTCACAAGCCTTAACTCATCTTCCCACCACTGTTCCTGTTGTTCAGGCAATCACTTCCAAGGACATTTGAGAAGACACTCCTGCTCATTTGCCCTCATAACACTGAGCTTCACTGTGCCTTTCCTGCATGTCTCACTGCAAGTCCTGGGTTTTATTGAGAGATGATAAAAACACACTTTCTTCCAGGAAAAAAGCTTTGCTGTTACGCATTTTGTACTTCCTGGCTGTGAAAGATGCTTATTTTATCCAGATTTGGAATTTTTGTAGTGGTTGTATAGGAGTGCATATCCAAGATGCTCTGCTAGGAGATAAAAACAGATATGCAAATACTTACTGAAGATTTATTAGCAAAAATAGGTATACAAACTCCAGCCTTCTAGAAGTTTGAAAATCTGCTTTTGTTCAGCACAAAAATCCAGCTTGCTGTGCTTTGCCAGAAACAACGGAAATCTCTCTTCTTATGAGATTTAACCATCCTGGGTCAAATCTTTCTCATCTTCCCTTTTCAACAGTTTCCCATCAAAATATGTAACAGATACCAGTGAACTGAACATTTTGTAAGAAACATTTCTGAGCTCAACTTTCACAGAAGAAAGTATCTTGGTTAAAAAAGCAAGGACTGCCTGAGAAGGCTGATAATGTTCACTAGCTCTACCCTCTAAACAACCATGCCATGGGCCACTGAAAAGCCTGGAAGAAGTCCTCCAGCTCTGGTCAGTCTTCTGTGCCATGAAGGCAAAGCCAGAAGGGAAATTTTTGGTTGAAATGAAGAACAGGCTTACCAGCCCACCCTTCATCTGCAGAAAGGTGGCTTAGAGAAGGATGACGACTTCAAACAGAGGGAGAGGAGAAGCAAAAATACTTCAAAATACTCTCAGGCCATGTTCTGCTCCATTTGGGAGCTGATTAGAAGGCTGAAACTACAGGATCACCTCCTGCCCATCTGGCATGTAAGACAAGATCACAGAACCACAGAATGGTTTGGGTGGGAAGGGACCTTAAAGATCATCCCGAGGTGGGTAGAGACACCTCTCGCTAGACCAGGCTGCTCCAAGCCCCAGCCAAGCTGGGATGGGACAGTAAGTAGGAAGTGGTTTTTATTTAAACTCCCAGCACTGCCCAAGTAGACTGAAAGCAGAGCTACACCATACTTGTGTGCTGAATCTCTCCTCATCTGGCAGGGGAGCAGACAGCGAGCGGCGGAAAAAGGAAAAACACCGCACTGCTCCTGGCTTCCGGCAGATACGGGCGAGAGATTTTTAACAAGAGGGAAGATAAGTGAGAAAAGGAGAACAAAAAAAAAACCCCAAAAAAAACAACAAACCACCACCTAATCAAAAGCTCTGCCTGGCCTCAAAAGCTGCAGAGACTGCTCGGTAACATGGGTCTGAAATTTGAGATGCTGGCGCTTGCAGCATGTGTGTTTTCCAGTACCAAGAGACAAGGTTTGAGCTGCAAGGCAGAGCAAGAGGAGGGAGGAAGAGATCAGAAGATCAATGAAGAAGCCTCAGTGAGTTAAGCAAAACTTCATGTTAGGGAGATGTATCCCACAGTTTCACAAGGTGGTAAGGAAGGCAGTGTGGGAACTCAAGGTGTTATTTCCTGGGGATATCCCCTCCAGATTTCTGAGCTGAAACAAAACAAGCTCAGTAGCATTGCCAGCTCTCATTATCTTACTGCAAGCCTGACAACAGCTGTGGGTTTCTTCTGAAAGCACTAGCCTCCAGATCCACGTGGCAAAGAAAAAGTGAAAAAAAGGAAAAATTTATTTTAAAAAATTTAAATAAAGCCCCTACCATTATGGCTGCAAGAAAAGCTAGGAAAAGGCTAGAATTTAGATGCTTTTATCTGTAAGGTAAATAAAAATGTAATTAAATTGAATTCTAATTTTACATTCTTTTTATTGCTATTATTATGGTATCACAGTGAAAATACCAGATCAGACATACTGTGATCTGGGATAAACAATTTTCAATTTTTTTTTATTTTCAGAGCATTATTTAACAAGAAGGATGCCCTGCTCAGGATGTGGAGCTGTAAGTCCAACACAGAAAACCAATGTCCACCTGGAGACTCATCCGTATGCAAAGGGAATTTAAGGTGAATATATGAAACACACTCAAGAGTGAAAATAGATGCCATTTGTTGCATTTTAAATTAAAGAAGCATCATAATGGAGAATACTTCAGCAAGCAGTGTTTACAGATAAAAGCAGCACCTCAGATCAGGATTGCTGCAAGCAATCGTGATCACTGGCTTTGCAACACACCCCTAAGAAGAAGCTGTGCCTTTGCTGCCTCTGACACAGCAGTTTACAAAGACTTCTACAATCATCTCTTCAAACTCAAACCCTTGTCATGAATGTCACTGCTTGGAGCAAATCTGCTCCAGAGACTAAATATGAGCATCCTAACTGGGTATCCAGCTAACCCATGCCTGAGGCCAAAAACCCAGCAGTTCTGGGAAACCACTTATCTGCGTTTTCTAAATTTATCCCGAAACAGAGCTGGTCTCTCATAATCACTTACCAACCATACAAGGCTATCCAGCACTTATGGCCCCTATAATTTTTGGGAACACTTCCAGATAAGGATTGCTGGGGGAAGTAAAATAATTTCTTCTTATATCTTGGCAAATATTCTCAAATCTCTTCTAAATCTCTTCTTTCTCATCCTCACAGGTCTGTTTCCGTGACCTTCCAGGACTACAATTTCTGAGTGGGAATACAGAAACATTAAAAAGCTGTTTCTATCACATGGACTAAGCCTTCTCTTGCTTCTGTATTCAGAGGTGGTTACATACAAAACAAAGGAGAGGAGGGAGCCAAAGAATGAAAAGTCTTCATAGGGGTGTGGGAACAGACAAGGAAGTCAGTAAAAGTTGGAACATGATGTGGGGTGAGTAGGTGGAAGAGAGAAACACAAACCCTTCCTGCTCCATCACGTTTACACCTGGCTGCCCCATCCTCCCACTCCCAGTCTGCTCCTCCGCTGTGGCCAGAAGAAACCCACAGCACCTCAGCATCTTTCTCATGATCTTAAAGGTATTAAATTATGGTGTTTCAACTGAAAATCCTACAGCCACAAAACTAGACTCTGTAGACCTCTGGCCTTCGCACATTAGTCCAGACAGATTACTGCCTGTAACTAAACAGCATTTCCTTAACATACCCCTCTCTGAGGTCTTTTCCACTGCCCTTTTAACATTTTTGAATCCCTCTTAGCACATTAATCTTGTGCCATCACTTGTAGATATCAAGTCAGCTGCTCTCCCACCACACCACAGCAAGCCATACCTCAAACCCAGCTCCCCAAATAGCAATCAAATGGATTTGTTGCTTGGAGTGGAAGAACAGATGGAGAAACATCAGCACTAATTCAATAAACCTTTCAGCCTCTGATTCTGCTAAGCCAGAAATAAAATATATGTATACCATGTGACTGATTTTAAGATCATGCTTAAACACTCTGCTGAACATAAACTGGGTATTTCTGAAATTAAACACTTGCTTAAAGGCCCTGCTAAATTGGGGTGAAAAAAAAAAAAAAAAGACATACAAGGCAAATCCTCTTGCAGCTCTGGCTCAAAAGCGTATTTAGCTATAAAAGTAAAGTCACTGAAAAAGCATCCTTATTTGAGAGGCACCATGGAGATTATAGACCAGACTTCACCAATTACTTATGTAAAATCAGAACAATAGCAAGTGATAATCATGGATTGAAAAACATTCTCAAAACCCTTCTGCTACCAGTGAGTTATTCCTCATGTGTGTTAATTAAGTAATTTTAACTTTGGAAATACAAACTTCTACTAATTTACAGTTTCACAGAGTGAGACTCCAGATCGTTCAAATCTGAAAGGAAGAGCAATCCCAGAGCTGTGCAGAAACACTTTAAAGCAAAAAGCAGAGAAATGAGCAAAAGTAAAAAAAGCTTACAGTAAAAATCTCAGAGACTGTTCCAACTCTTTGCAGGGATTAGAAAAATGCAATTTAAATTGTTTTTTAAATGGGCTTTATTTTTCTCTCGCTTCCCTTTTGCAGAGGACATAAATCACTCTCAGCTGTGAAGGAACTACAAGTGTTAGGCTTTGCCGGGGAAAGAAATGTTACTGGACAGAAATAAAATCAGTGTTTGTACGTTTTACAAAGCAGCACTTCCAACCTCTCTGCAATCCTGCACGCTCCCGGTGCTTTGAAGCCATTTTCCCCACTGCTCTAAGAGCCCTGCAGAACATGGAGCTGGCAGGGGATTGTGTTACTGCCCTGACTGCTCTGGAAAACACCAACTCCTGCTCTCTGCAGCTGTCCAGTTACTCACAGAGTCCCACCAGCCTGTTTAATGGCTGCGCTGCCTCTCCAGACCAGCACCCTGCAGTCAGCATCACCCAGCTCCAACACTGGGGAGAAACAGGCTCCAACCACAGACCCTTCACTCTGGAAATAGTCAAAACTCAACGAATGCTTTGCAAACTGTGCCATTTCCAAAGTTATCTTTATAGATAAATCTTTATGTCTATTTTCCCCCTATAAAACTACTGCACTTCTGCACTATCCTATTCCATTTGCACTGCAGGACACTGTTTACTGCACAGTTTTCCTCTTGGAGATAAAACAAGTCCACTCAGGGACAATATACAACACAAGGATGTCTGTTGATGATGAATATTTATCTGTTTATATGAATATTTATTAATGAACGCTGCTATTGACTCTCTATCCCTGATGACCTACACAGGTTCTGTGACAACTCCTTGTTTGGGTCTCAAAAGAAACAGCCCATGCACCTTTCCTGTCTGAGGATGAAAAGCCAGTGCACATCACAGAACAGAATATTTCCAGGGATGGAAAACTTTCATAGGAAGCATCTTTTATTTTTTTTTTTTACATGAAATACTGCAAAAGCTGAGAAGGGACAGTTCATCAGATAAACAGAAATTCAAAGTGTTGCCAGTGAAATTATTTTTTGAGAAAAACATTTATACTGCAGCTGAATCAAGCTATTTCACAGACAAACCAAGGCAAAACAACAACAGAGAAGGTTTTATATCTGCTCTTTAGTGTATTCTAATTATGGCAAAATTTCACCCCTTCCCAGTGCTGGCTGGGAGAATCATTGTAAAATGCAGGGTCCTGCAAATTAGCAAGCAATAGAACAATAAGTTCCCCTCAAGGATAATGCATCACAAAACATGCTGCATTCATTTATGTGGCGTAGTGCAGTTTAATTACTTGTAAAAATAATGACTTCTTTGTAGGGGCCCTCACTAACATGCATTGCTGCTCTGTGTTTTGCTGAGTGGGATGAGCTGTGTGCCAAATTTGTGTGCATGGATTACACAGAGTGAGCATAGGCAGAGTGCAGAAAGGAGGTTGTACAGTGTCCTTTGTGTTTTGACAGCACATAAATGATACTCGCTCTCTTCACAGAATTGTCTGTGTTTTGAAGCTCAGTATTTCTCCTCCCAATAAGGATTTTCAAGTCTTGATTCCATCTCATTGCAGAAAATGCTCAGCATAATAAAAAAAAAAATCACTGCTAGGGAATCAGGGTGTGCCCATTTTCTCACCATCACCCTCCAGTGGGGAAGGGCTGTGGCCATCCCCAATGTCACTGCTCCAGTCAGTCCCAAGGTCATACCACGATGCTCCACCACCACCCCACCCACTGAGAAAGGGAACCAGGATTTCCAGCATCCACGGATTTCTGTTTGTAGGGTTTCATGGGAATAGAAGAGTTTTCAGAGTCAGGGAAGCTGTGGCATGGCTGTCAGATGTTTATACATTGAATTACCACCCAGCAATCCAAGAGGAAAACAAACCACGACGAACAGTTTAAGGATACACCAAGAAGAACAGGAATTGGGACCTTTATGGTAACATGTCTGCATTGCTTGTGTCTTATTTTCAAAGACAAACTGCAAAGGTCATCAGAGAAATTCCATGGATTGGGCCAGCAGCATTCCTTAAAGCCAATGACACAGGACAATGTAATGGAATCCCAGTCCTCTTTTCATTCCAGAGTGAGAACTGCCATTCCAAAACTAAGGCCAATTTGAAATACTTCACCAAATACATTAATAGCTGTTGTAATAGTTTTGTTTACTTCCCATATTTATTTAAATTACCAGCTCTACTCGCATTAGGGTTGCCGTATTTGCTGTGAGCTCTATAATTAAATTTTGGCCAGCTTAAGCTTCCTGACAGTATGTAAAGCCTGTTAATGTGGTTAGTCTCACCTTGGAGAACCTTGCTGCAGCTACAGGATGAATTTGTACATCCCATTTTTACAATCTAGCCTGTGAGATAGTCGTGTTTTCACAGTATGACTGACCTTGATGGAGAATAATGTAACACTTCATCCTCTCTGTATTCATGCAGGGTGGCAGGAGAAACTATTTGGGTAAAGGTCCCATCTCACCCTGCACCTTCCCCTTCACCATCACTTTCCAAGTGGCTGTCTGAATTTAAGGACAAAACTTAAATGCAATCAGTCCAGCAATACAGATCATATTTTCTGTCCCCCAACACAGCACCCAACAACTATAGAGAGCAGAATAATTTACAATTTGTAACAGGGAACATTACGTGATAATGTGGACAACACAGCAGACTCCTAAACATGACATTGGGTCACTCAATATAAACTCCAAGTATCTGAGAAATCAATTCAGAAACACAAAGTTTATAACAAAGCTTAACAGAACCAGGCATCAGAATAACACACACAGAGACTAAATCTTTTCTCCTATACAAACAGCCTTCTTGAGATTTTTTTTAAGCTCTTTGTCTTTATTAGCCTCAGCTAATAAAGCTATTAAAGCTAGAACTCCAAACATTTGCTGCTCAAAACTAACTTGCCATCTTCCAAAGGACTCCTTGTAAACCAGTGCAATAAATGCTCATGCCACTAGTTACTTGCTATGTGTTGTAAGACCTGGCTCATTCTCAAGACCCTTTACAACAGACCTGTTTCTGTTAAATATTCAGTTCTTCTTTAAATATTTGCACTAATTCTTACCTTATTTTTTTAACCTACACCAGTAAAATGCCTATTCTCTACAAGATGCTGCCTTATGTCAATATAATGATCATTATTTCATTTAACTAAAAAAACTCCCTCTCTAAAAAGTAGGAACACAACAGTCCACCACCACCACAATGCCTGTTAGCTCCCCTCTTTAAGGCAGTTGTGCTTGCCTGAAGAAAAGCTTTTCATTTGTGTTTGCATAAGATTTGTCTTAATTAGTCAATATTACAGTGACTCACTTTGGACATTACAAGACAGATGGAAGCAGAATATTGAGCAACAAGAAACACCCCTCCAAAAAAAAAAAATTATTGCATTTCCCCTAAACCCTCAGGACTGCCCCCACTGCTGCTGGCAAGAAGGGTAAAAGTAAAATTATATCAAAATCACCTTTAAGGACAGCGTATAGTACTCAGACACCATTGAGTGATAATGTACAGCAAAGCCAAGCATGGTAGAGAACGGAAAACCAGCAGAGGAACCACCAAATCATCCTTACTCTGTCAAAAGCTGATGCAGCTTCTGGTAGCCCCTCTCCAAGGCCAAGCTCACAGGCGTTGCCCCTTCGTTGTTGTGGATGCTGAGAGCTCCTCTTCCACCCGGCTGCTGGAGCAGAAACCACGTCAGGCGCAGCAGACCCAGCCTCACCGCAAAATGCATCAGTGTTTCCCGAGGGATGTTCTCTGGAAGGGAGGAAAAGAAAGTCAGAAATGGGAATTTGTAGGCTTGCAGGTTAGGGGAATGTTATAGCCCCACATCCCAGCTCCACCACACAGCGGCTGGCATGGAGCTGACAGCCCGAAGGAACCTGCAGCACCTGGAAAAACAGCCTGGTTGGCAATATCCAGGAGACACCAGTCTCAAAGTGAGGGACATGCTTTGGTAGGGCTGGAAGTGCTCAGGACCTCTCATGCTGAGACTGACCACAGGAGTCAATGTGAAAACCCCACCATTTCCTCAACAGCCACAGCCACCACCAAAAGCCCCAGCACACCCAAACAGAAGTGTGGTCAGGTGGGTTTTCCTGGATGTACAAAACTTCTCCTCACACACACCAGGACCAGGTTTTAGGGACAGATAATTTTTGTTACCTAATGGGACACTGATTTATCCCAAGGCATGAAGGGGGAAAAAAAAAAAAAAAAAACCCAATTAAATTTAATGCACATAACCAAAGCAGTTATAAAAAAGAACTGTTTAAAAACTCAGACAAAAAAAAAAGTTTTCTTTCCTGGTCTGATTATGCCTCAAACCAGTTTTTCTCAGCTTAATACAGTAGCTCTGTTAATGCAGTAGCTCTGTCACTCTGAGTAGCAGCATTTATAAACTACCAATCTCCACTGCTGCTTTATGTATTTAATAACCGTGACCTTCTAATTTGGTAAAAGTCACTCTAGAGCCTGAGCTTTCATCTCAGAAAAATATCGCCCTACTCCAAAAGCTGCAGCCCTAGAATGATACTCCGAAAAGCTTTAACCAGAAATGAGCTCCAGATGCACTGCTGAAATCCAGCATTTGCAGATCAAAGCTTATTTCTGTATGAAAGGCAAAAGCATTTGGGTTAAAAAAATGGCAAGAAATAAAAATTTGTTCTTTTAATTAACAAAGGATTTCAGTATTGACTGACAGCAGCAACAATAAAAAAGCACCAACTGGGTCTCAGAAAGCCATGCCAATGAGCATGCTTGGTATAAACCCTTTAATATCACAGAAATTATTTATTAGGTTATTGATTTGGGTTCCAGCCAAATCCATACAACAGGTTTTAAAATGCACACACATAATGGCTTTAGGATTTAATTTCGTATTTTTTTTTCTTTAAGAAGTGTGCCCCAAGAGAAGTCATTTCTTCAAAGTGGTGCTGTTTTTCTTGCTTATTTACTTACTTTAGGGACATCATTAAGACCTTCGGTGAAAAACAAAACAAAGCAAAAATGGGCAGCTCTCCACTGCCTCACACACAATTTTTCACAACTTTTTGGATCCAATTCTGAAGAACTAATCTGTATGCAAGAACCAAAGGCTTTCTGGCACCATTTCTCTTCTGAATGACTCCAAATTAGGTCTCTGGGCTACAAACCAAGTATTCCCCCTAACCTCCTCTTGATTACCGTAAAGCAAAACCAAGCTGCCCTGAATACACGAGTGTGTCTGAATGGAGGCTCCAGCTGATCAGAGGAAAGGGAATGGATGAGCTCTCCCAGAGACAAATTCTCAGCCTTTGGCTAAGTAATGAGAAGGATTTGGGTATTAAATGTTACAGAGCGTAATGATTTAGAAATAGCACAACATGGAGGTTAATCAATGGTTGCAGCCCTGGATTTAAAGAAAAAATAAAAATAACATAGCATATAGACAGACACAGAAGAAAGGGTACTGATGAGGCTGCAAAACATGGATACAGGTAGGACTTTTCCAGAGTGAAAGCAAATGCCCAGTGTTTTACTCAAAGAACTTGTACATGCACAAAGCTCCCACACTACCTGTACACTGACTGGCAGAGCCAACATAATGAATGTAGTGTAATTCTTCCTACAGAGATGCAGGAGGCACAAAAGCACTTCTATCAGAGCAAACAACTGCCATCCAAACAATAAATGTGTTGGATTGGTCTGACCACCTTCTGTTCTTGCATGGATCTCCTGTTGTGGCTGTTTTGTTGAAAGGGAAAATAATTTTCCCAGCTAGAATGGACAGTCCTGCCCCAGAAGTGAGCAGCGTAGACCTGTAAAGCATAAGCACTGATCCCTGGACCAAATGCTTCCTCCTCCTGCAGCTGAGAGCATTACCAATAGGGAGAAGCATCTTCTGCTCACCAGCTCACGGTTCACCACTAAATACACACTACCAACTGCAAGTTCTGCAAGATGCAGGCAGATATTCCTCTTGTCCCTGAGCCAAATGGGTGCTTCTCTCTGTCTCATAAGTCCAAAGATGAAATGGCTTCTCTCAGTTGTCACAATGCCTCCCCAGTTGTCCCAATGTGCTGATATGACTGCACCTTCTGAGAACACCTTTCCTGCTCTGTAGAAACAATCTCCTTTATCACTGAATCAGTGGACAGGGAAGTTCCAGAGCGTGGCTGGAGGTGCCCGCAAACGCAGCTGAGGTGAACGTGGCGTTGCCCTGATGCCTTTGGGCGGTGACAGTGTGCACACAGGATCTGCACAAGGAGAGGTGGCATGTTGCCACCAGAGCATGTCAGACACACGGGATCACTACCCACTCTTGGAAGGCTCTGCCTGACACAGAACCTGGCACGAGGCCACCCTAACAGATGGGCACAGATGATGGCAGCAAAGAGACAAAGTACTGTACAGCCAACAACTGCAGGGGCCCCAGGCAAAGGCTTTGGAAGGTTCTGGAGTGTGCAAAGCTTGCATGGTGACAGTTAAAAAGGCATGTGCCATCTGTGGGCTGGATTAACTACTAATATATAATGAAAATACATCTGTTGATGGCTGGTCTTGCTCAAAACTACACAAGAGCTGGTCTGCTCTCAAGTATGGACATTTTTCTGGATAGAGAGTGGAACAAGACAATTGTATTTCCACAATTTCCTAATTACCAGAGGCTTCTTGTTGGCATTCAAACTACAGCCATTTTAAGACAAGAAGCTCTTGCTTCTTGTCTTAAAATCATAAAATCATTGACTGGATTTCAAACATTTTGTGTGAAGGGATCCTTTCAGACTTCCTACCTTTGCAGTGATGAAGCTTGTCACACAAAGTGTTTGAAATCCAGTCAATGATTTTATGATCTTGTCATGGTGCAAAATGTCCCACACATGAAAGAATATCAAAAGCTTTACCATGCAAAAACCAGACCCCCCCCTCTCCTACTACACACTAAGCAAGAGCTTCTTGTCTTAAAATGGCTGTCGTTTGAATGCCAACAAGAAGCTTCTGGTAATTAGGAAATTGTGGAAATACACACAATACTGAAAAGTCCAAGATTGTTTTGTTCCTTTCTCGTTTCCTAGTAATAGGCAAGAGTTGAAACATATGATTATTGCCCCATAATGGCAGGGTACTCTAGTCCAGCTGGCAAAATACAAGACTTTGACTATATTATTTTTGTGTAATTGTTTTCTGCTGTGATACATGAACAGACAGTTTATCTGCACAACTGAGGATGAAATTTCCATAGAAGACTGTCATATGTACTTTGCTAATAGTAAAGGATTAAGGTTTAAGGTGCTATTAGGACAAAACAAATAAGCATTGAAGGGAAAAAAAAACAAATTTTGGGTATGACATGCCCAAGAACACTAAATAAAACCTTTCATTTTAAACCTGATTAAATAACAAAAAAAACCCCAAAAACTACTGTTCCTTTTTTAAAACAACTTTCCAGATAAGGGTAGCCTACACCTTGTTACTATATGATACCTGAAAGCACAACGCTATTGCAAAGGTAAAAAAGAGGAAGTTTTATATCTGACTTTAACATTTATACTTTTGTAAAGGTGACAGTAGATTGGAGGGTGAACGTGCCACCTCTCCAACGACACTGGACAAACTACAGTACATCAAATTTCTTCACCTTTATGAAGGAATGTAAAGCAATAGGTTGTTTACAGAAAGTTGTGTAAGAAAGTTCTCTACAAGAATGTAAACTCAGAAGGCTTTAGAAAATCTTAAGAATCAGGATGACACACCTAATGCTCAGTTTATCCTCCATGCCCTGAGACACCTCATGAGCCAGCCATGGAATGGAGTAGCACTGCTTTGTCTTCTTGTGCTTGTGACCTTTACTTGGTTTTCACCCAAACACTTAACACTCAGCAATTTGGAAAGCTACCATCACATCTGGCCCCAAAAGCTTGCTATCTGCTGGAAATGTTCTCACTGTTTAGATCAACCCTTGAGAAACAAGGGCAAAAAATCCCAGAACCAAGCTGCCACCTCACACTGAGCTCCTAGAGGACGGATCCAGCAGACAGCTGGCCTGCAGAAAGGTCAAGGCAAAGACACTGTGTTTGGAGTTATGATGTCAGTTAATACAAAGATGTGTGGATAATTCCTTTTTTAATCTGATAAACAAGAAATTTTTCAAAGCACACCAAAAGATCTCCATGTCCCCATTCCCACTAATATCAAAGAGAACAGGAACACTCCCATGCCAACAATTTCTCAGCTACAGACTAAATGGTACGTTTCAGTCTTGAGCAGCACATTTCTGAAACTGTCTGAACAAGAATTGCTTTCTGCTTCCCATTTTCCACTGCAGAGGGCACTAAATTTAGGTATGGAAAAGACTTTCTATTTTATCAAGGACTGCTGCTGAACAGAGCACTTTGTGCTGTTGGCACTGAACAGATCATGCTGATTTATACCATACCATCCTTTATCAGAGAGCACAGAAGCTGAGCAGCAGACTGGAAAGGATATGAAACCCAACCAAAAGAACACCTGTAACTATTACATTGAAAGGGTTCCAAGAGTAACTATAACAAGAGTGCAGCAGATGAACAGATTAAAGCTTCATGTCTGAAATATATCATCAGTAGCATAACTTTAGCATTCTCCCATGGGAAAAGAATTCTAGGTATTAATAATAATTCTAAATGTTTTTAAAAGTTTTTTAGCATTTTCTGGTTTAAAATAAACTATTTTTTTTGGTGACTTCCTCCCGTCAGATATTCTCCTTTCATGCAAAAAAAAAAAAAAAAACAATTCATGATCTGTATTTCTGGTGACACCCATGTTGTCTTGTACATTGAAATCCTACTGGTTTTGTACATGAAGCTATTAAACCCAAATCCTAACACATTCAGACTATTTTAAACCAGGGAAGAGTCTCTCCCTCTACATCCACCCCCACCTGGTGAGGTCATTGAGTTTAATTTCCCAAACAGCTCTTATCGAAGGACGATGTTTATCCCAGAGCATTTCTGGGAAGCTGTGCATATTCAACACATCAGTAACTGCAATCAGTTAAGTGTTCTATCTAATCTAATCTGATGGTCTCCTGGTTATCTGCCTGAAAACCTGGCTCACTATCTCACAGCAGTCCTTACACTCCCAGGAGAGTTGCTCCATATCATGGTGATCACAGCAACCCTCTGCCAACATCAACCAGCTCCTGAAGCACCACCTCAGAAGGCTCACACAACCAAAAATCAACCACAGCTCTGGGTTTCATCACTCACTTTTAATAAGCAAAATGGAAAGACTGTTTCCTCAAAGGTTTTGTCAGAATATTACTTCCAAGTTATTTTGAAAGGGATCTGTTTACTAGTGATATAATCAAGCTCTCTAAGCTTTTCATACCTGAGCCTCAGATGCTCCCTAATTTTTTTCTCTCTTTTTATTTTTTTACCCCACTGCAACATAAACAAGCCATAATCATTACTCATACCTCAACATATTCAGTTGTGGTTTTCTAGTTAGCTTATTTTCTCTTCAGTAATTTAAAATAGAACATCACAGTCCTGTATTAACATTGCATACATCCTCAGGATACATATTAAATTTTGATTTCTAGACATAAAGCGTAACAATCTGTTCCATTTAAATAGTTGCCTTTAAATGCTACTGAGAACAGTAAATAGCCCCAGTTTTGACAGCAGTAACAACTATGTTCTTTAGAAAGTTACAGTGTACTTGTAATTATTAAGACAGACATGATTATATGGCACCTGAAAGAAATGCTGTGTTTGGAATACCACAGTAACAAGAATTAATTATGGATATTCTGAAACTGTGGATGCCATTGGAGCTCATACAGATAGACAGATAAGTAAGAGCAAGGCCCAGGAGCTGCTCGTTGTGGAGGGACAGTGTGTGCCTGGTGAAGAGCACAGCTGTGTCTGAGGGACTGTGCTCTTCTCCAGCTGCACTGTCCTGGGCTCTCTTCTGCCTCCCAGTTCATCCCACCAAATGCTGAGTACCCTCTGCCAGTCCCAGCATGAGAATGGAGCCCAAGCACCCCTGAGGTCAGGGATCCTAGGGGTCCCCATCCCCAGTTCTGCAGCTGTGTCTGTTCAGGGATGCAGCAGATAAGTTCAACAGCCTCAGGAGACTGAGGTGAACTGCCAGCAGCCCCTCTGCCCTCTGGGGTGACAGCAGTGAACTCCCTGCCCACTGCTCAAAGCCTGGCCAGGGCTGGGTGCAGGCGAAGCAAGGAGAATCCCCCACACAGAGCCACCCCCTGCCCAAAATTCAGCCTGGATTTGTGCTCAGTGGTAGATCTTGCACCCAGCTTCTGCCTGCAGAAAGCCATTCCTTCCTAACTTCTGCAAAAGTTAAGACTCCCACTTCAGGCCTTTGAGAAATGGACCTTTCAGCGTGTTTGACAACAGCAGCCTGCTCTGAGCAGCAGTTCCCCATCAGGCTGTGCCACTCGGGGGGCTGGCAGAGGTTCTCAGTTCCCTCCTGCCTTCAGAGGTTTTGCTGAACAGCAGCGTTTTGTTTCCAGCCCACAAGAGCCCATAGAGACGTGCCAGCTCAGAGGCAGCGCTAAACATCTTTCAAGAAGGGATCTGACATTTTCTTTTGTTCTCATTTCTATAGTATTTTCTCCTTCGAGAAGGTTATTTGAAGTTATCTGGTGCTGACATTTAGGGAAATGTGAAGCATGAATTGCAGTAGCTGTTCATAGGTGGTGAAGCAGTGCAGGACAGGGTGTCCCACTGCAGGCATTGACCAGAATGTGCCTAATTGTTCAAACACTCCTACAGTGCAATCTCTGCAGTGCTTTTCTCTCTCCCACACAAATTAACACACAAGCACCAGAATAAGGGTGCTATATTTTAGCACAGAGTTTTTTCTAATCTAGCGCTCCATCATAAACCAGGGACATCTCTTCCATCTCACTCTAGCAAAATAGTTTTGTGACCAAAAGAATGCTTATGCATGCAAATCCTTCCTGTCACAGAGACAAAAATTCCCCCTAATTCCCTATGTGTAAATATCTCCCTGCAAAAAAACTACCAGATAACTCTGCCTGTAACAAAAAGGAACATATTTTACAGCACTAATATTCTTGAATTAGATTTGCATTTAGTGACACTATATATATTCACTTCTATCTATGCACACCTCATCACAAGATGCCAAAACACTCAAGAGTTACAGAATTTGGCACTACAGAGCGCCCTCTTCTCACTGTGGATGCTCCACAAGTCCATTAACATACAGAGCCCTGCATAACCACAACTTCCAGACACACAAGCAAACTGAGCAAACCAATGTAAATCTTATGGCCTGGTTTCCCTGTGTGCTGATTTTCCAGAGAATAATCAAAGTCAAAAAGAAAAAAAAGGCAGATCTCAGCCTTCATGCAAAACCAGCAACAATTCAGAGTTTCAAAGTTTTCATTAAGATCACTGTGACCGTATTTATATCACTTAACCAGAAATGTCTGCATTATCACAACACTTTTCAAATGCAGACAGAAACATCAGTGACTTCCACTCAGAGGAAGTGTTATTTCCTTGTAAACCTATGACAGCTGCTGAATTTCTATTAAGGAGCCATTAAGTATGATCAAATATTTTAATGTCTGCTAACAAGGGAATTGCCTGTACTTGTATTGAGCTTTACAAAAGCAGTCAGCAAGCTGGAGAAGAATAAAGCAGGAAAATCTCCTGTGGAAAACTCTGTAGCAGTGAGCAGAACTGAGCCTGCTGCCCCGAGCAAGCCACATCCCAGCTCGATTCACGTGTTTGTGCCATTGCATCTTATAAATGATAACAGATGCCTCACAGTCACATTCCTGAAGTGAAACTGTTTGCCAAAATACCCTGGAAATTTACAGCAAGGATTTGTAGATACTGGAACTAGTCTCCTGGTCCCACGTGTGTTTCCTTTCACCCCCTTGTGACAAACTAAGCAGAACTCCAAGGACACAGACACATCACAGCACTCTGAACACCTCAGCACTTCTGCTTCAGCAGCCACCAGAGACTTTGGGCCAGCCTTGAGATTTATTTATAAGCTCTCAGTAGCCTTCACTGCTGTGGTTAAGGGTTAAGTTTTCCCACCCTTCCCTTATCTGCAAAATTGTCCAGGCTTATTTTGAGGAACTACATTGTTAACCCACCCTGTGTGCAACCAGAGATGTGATATAAACCCTCAGGGCCAGAGCCTCAAGTTCTCCAAAAAAAAATCACGTGTATTTTTCATATCACAGTCATTTTGCACCTGTGCTATAAAACCAACATTTACTACAAGCACCAAATTTCTGGCACAAGGATATTCCTAGGAGCATCAGATATTCTACACAAAGGGTTCTACCAGCATATAGCACTATGCTGATGCACATGCCATTGTTACACACACAAAAAAATGTTTTCAGGCTATATGTGAAAATACTGTCAGCTCGTGCTATTTCATAAGAGAAGAGCAGGAGAAATCATGAGTCACGATTATATATTTTATATATTTTATACCTTATATATTTTAAGGAAGCTGACGGGCAAGATACGGGATGTGGACATTGTGGCAAGCACATTTCTCTCCCTCTCAGGATTTTCACAGAGATGCACAGAGAGAAATGAAAGAGAAAACAATTTCCATTTCTGTTCCTTGTTTTTCCTATGTGGAACTGTTTGGAGAATTGCTTATCTGGAGTGAGTGCTTGATCGGATTCTGGTGAGGATTGTTTGAGCCTGATGGCCAATCCAACCCACCTGGGGCTGGACTCCCGAGAGAGGGTCACGAGTTGTGTTAGAGTCAGAGAAAATAGTCTGTAGTTTTAGTATCCTCCTTTTATATAGTATATTGATGTACTTTAGCATAGTTATAACAAAGAAATAATTCAGCCTTCTGAATTGAGTCAGACATCGTCATTTCTTCCCATTGGGCTCGCCTGCATTTACAATAGGACATCACATCCCATCTCTGAGCACAGAGCCAGCACACCCTTTGGATGGCAGGCTCCCAAGGCAGGGAACCCTTTCTCCCAGGCTTTTACCTCTCTGCCAACCTGCAAATGTCCCTGTGCCCCACAAGTTCTCACCGGTCAGGGACTGGTCTGCTCCCAGCACGTTCCATTCTGTCGGCAGCTTCAGGTGTCGAAATGCCAAGGCCACTTTCTCATCCAAAAAGTCCACGTCTGCAGCAGGTGGCCTGGAGCGGTCCAGGAACCGTGTGAAATTCAGCGCCTGCTGGTTGCCAGCACAGGTGGCCAGAAACTGGGCAGCATCATAGGCTTCGTCCTGGACAAACTGGAAACTCTCTTCTGCCACAACCAGAACGGGGTGACCTTCTCTAGAGGCACAAAGTGCCACCTTCACTGTCTCACAGCAGTCATGGCCTGCAAAACAAAATTCAGAAAAATGGTAAAAAAAAAAAAAAAAAAAAAAAAAACCGGCATGGGCTGAGGAAACAACTGAGCAATTCCTTTGACATACACACTCTTTGCATTAAATCAAATAAGACCAAGTTATTGAGGGTCACAACTCTAAAATAACGTTGTCTTTGGAATTTATATGTATCATCACAGATAAGTATTTCTTATAGATTTTAAAAGGAAAATGTGGATAACTCTTCTCAGTACCAGTATAAGCCAAGAACTATAAGCCACCCAGGCTATTTATATACAGCAAAAAGCAATCTCAAGAATTTTAAGTAATTCAAGTAAAAGATTTTGCTAACATACCTAAAGCCAGGTTATATGGACAAACTTTTCTTTTGCAGCTCCGCAGGACTCCAGCAGCTCATCAGAAACTAGAATCTGGTTTCTAGTGCTGTAAAACTACATACTCCAAATGCTGTCACATCACTTGGCTTGCACTGAAACGTTGAAATTTCATCTAAAACAAAGGTCTACATGGCTACGAGTGCACGACCTGCCTGGGCATGCCCTGGGTGTGCTCACTGCTGCACCTGCCCCTTGCATTTGGCATCACACAACAAAACTAAAAACTAAGCTGCTTCTGCTAAATAAAAACATGGAAATGACCATTTTCCATATTTACAAAACAAGAGGGTTGGAAGTCTGGTAATTTAATTATTTATTTAGGGAAAGGAAACAGGAGAAAGGAGGCATGGCAGCAATTTCATTGACTCAGAAACTTGAGGAGGAAAAAAAAACCAAACAGCAAACCAAACCAAACACCTTTTGGGAATTTTAAAAGGGAAAAATATACTATGTGTCCAACACAACCAGAACTTGTAGTTGTCAGACGTGCCCCTTCAATAATAAGGTTTGTGTTTCAAGTTCACTGAGTGGTACAGTTTCTTGTTCCAGCCTCAGACTGACATCATGGCTGTTTTTGCCAGAACAGCATGGACCCTGTACTAATTACTGGAAAAGCTTCTTTTTTGCCCATGACCTCAGCATACTACCACATTCATGAAACCCTGATTAATTAAATACAAAATGACAATTTATTTTTAAAGGCTTGAAAATTCAATTTAAACCCCTATTTGTGGTCAGTGGGAAAGTTTCCTTCTTCTGCTGGGGCCTTTTGCTGTTGATTTCCCTGACAAAAGGGAAAATATGTCCCTAATCTTCATGGTCTTTCAGCCAACCTCACAAATCTGTTCTGAGGCTTTTGGCATCCGTACAGATTTTGTCTACTGAAAGAGGCAATTCTGAAGTTAATTGAAAGGTCAAAACTGCTATTAGGACACTGTGGGTAACACCAAAATTGTCAGAGATGAGGCTGTGGCTTCCTAAGGAGAGCAAATGCAGCTGGAAAGGTATCAAAGGCAAGTGGAGAAGGGGAGGAAAACACACACGGATGTTGCTGCAACTGCTCAGTACAACCAGGATGCTCTGAAGCTGAAAGGTGAGTAAAATTCTTTCCTTCCAGCACCAGATACCTCTTAGCAACAGGATGATAAGAAAGCTGAAGGAGTAGATTTACTAGTTCTGTTATTTTGAAGAATACGGGTAGGAAGAACTACTGTTCTTGAAAATGCTGCATGTGCATTCTAATACATTAATGTATTAGTACTCAGCTGCCCAGATGGAACCCATTCACAGATTCCAATCATCCTCACAGTAAAAGCCCCAAATGCTCAAGGGAGAAGTGGGGAGGATGATACAACTTTGAGAGAACTTGCTTTTAAGGTCATTTAGAACTGTGCATTCCTCCTCCTACACCTTTTTGCTTTGCTGATCTTCCTAAGGACATCAAACACAGAGCAGGTAAGAGATTAATTTTGTTCCCAGCCTCCACAAAAACAGTGATCTCTATGCACACTGTGAGAGGACTGTGCCAGCCTACAGGACCTGACTCAAATCCTACAAGCTGGGCTCTCTCTAACTCACAGCAATGTATGGTTGCTAGAATGCAGAGTTTAAAAAAAACAAACACAGTAAAAGCTTTCTTAATAGCATGAAGACAGCTAAACATTTTATTAAAATTTTAAAAAATATTTTCTGCCTATTCCCATAAGAATCCCATCTGCAGAATAACCTAGAATACGACTCCTCTGCCAGCAGACTTTCAGGATTGAAGCAGCAAGCCAAAATGGCCCACGAGCAGCTACAGACAAACCATTTGGGACAGTCACTTCCTTGTCACAATGCCAAACAGCTCTGCTGTTGTTTGGACAGCAAAGGCTCCTCCATCGAGACAACAACTACAGAAACCTCTGTCAGGACGTGTGGTCTCCTTAAAGCAGCACATCACAGATGTACACAGAGTTCTCCTGGATGGAGCCTGTGTTAAACACCAGCTGCAAAGTGCAACGCAAGGGAAGGTAATAAAAAGACCATGTCCTGACCTGTGGCCAGCAAGGATTCTACTGAAACTTCCCCAGATACTGAATGCAGCCTAGAAGAGAAAGTGATAGACATGATAATCCATTTTTATCTAACAGGATCAAACAAGCATCATGCTAAACCCTAGGGAATGCTCTTCAGAAGGGCAACAGCTTGCAGTGCTTTGATGTTGTGCTTGCTCACATCTGAGAAGATGTCAGTCGTGGGGCCAAGAACATGGGACAGGTTCTGACTTTTGGCAAGCAGTTCAAATGAAAGGGGAGACAGTATGTAACAAGAACAGACAATACTAGAAAAATTGCTCAAGAGGTCTCTGCCCCCTGCTTTGAAATGGCTGCTGGAATAATGTGAGCAAACACGTCCCCAGTACAGGAACCTTCTGAAGGAACCATCAGTGGGGCAACACTTCTCACCACACCAAAGATCCAATGGCCTGGACTAAAATATGAGCTCTACAGCCCTTGTCCCAGAGCTCCCCAGAAGGGAGCTGAGCTTTCTGGCATTCTCAGGAGGTACATGGTTATCACTGCAAAACCAAATCTGTTTTCAACAGGTTAAGTAACTTGCTCACAATCACACAGAGCTCCAGGCAGTGCCAGAACAGCCAGTGTTGCTCCTGTGCCTCACCCTTCTGCTCCCTCTGGCAGACAGCAGGGCTTTCTCCTAACATGGGCCAAGCACCGAGTTATGCACTTATCAGCCATCAGGGTGGTTCCATCACCTCTGTCCATCCACTATGGACTGCTGTAGCCCCCTCCTACACCTGCCTAGATGTGGAACAGAAAAATGTGACATTGAAAGGGGAAAAGGAAAAAACTCTGGGTGTGTCAGAGGGCTGGTTTTGGTGTTTTGGTGGAACAGAGTGTGGCAAGCACAGAGAGAAATGTACTTACCACAATAAAGTTAATTTTCTTTGCTGTAGCTTGCGTGGGGCTGTTTTTGATTTGTGCTGAAAACAATTTTGATCATCCAGGCATATTTTCCTTCTTGCTGAGCATTGCTTACACAGACCCAAGGACTTTTCATCTTCTCACCCACCCCACCAGTGAGCAGGACTGGGGCACAAGGAGTTAGGAGGGGACACAACGAGGACAGCTGACCCCAAGTGACCCAAGGGATATCCCAGACCCTATGGAGTCATGGTCAGTGTACAGAGTGGGGAAAGAGGGAGGAAATCTCCAATACATGTGATGAAGCCCTGCTGCCCTGAGGATGGCTGACCACCTGCATGCCCATGGAAAGTAGTGACCTAATTCCTTGTTTTGCTTTGTTCACATGTGGCTTTTAGTTTACCTATTAACCTGGCTTTATCTCAACTCTCAGGTTTTCTCACTTTTGCTCTTCCAATTCTCTTCCCCATGGCACAAGAGGCAGCTGTGTGGGGCTTAATTGCTGGCTGGGGTTAAACCACAACAGTCAGGAAGAGCAGTGAGCCTATTTACAAAGGTTTGCATTTCCACAGGCTGAAAACACATGTAACTGAATAAATCACACAGATAAGATCACCTCAGAGAAGGGATGAGAAATCTCCATGCTTTACAACGCCATCAGGTTCCCAATACTGCCTAGCAACCCTTCTGATTGCCTTCAGTCTTCTCCAGAAATCAGGCCCTTTGGCCAAATAGCAATAGAAATTATGAAATACTCTATTATTTTCTTGCTTGTACCATCCAGCAGTATCCTTGTTCAAGTTTTAACTCTCCTCACAAACTTAAGTGTTTCTCTCTAGCTGACATCTCAGACTGCCTGGCTACACTTCACTCATTTTTTTTCCCCACAGTATCAAATGTGGTCATTTGTATGCTGTCTGTGATAAAAGTCAAATAATCCATCCCTTAACTGCAGCAACATTGCATTTTATCTCATTTCTCCTTTTGCTCCTCAGTTACTTTAAATCTAGCTTGGAAACAGCTCTTGACCCAGAGCTGTTTTGAGAAATACCAACATATTGTAGGAAAAATACAGAAATTAAAAAACTATTTCAATCTATGCAGGGATGGGTACAGTGACTAATTCTGCTGCTATGAAGTGAATTCCTCATCTACACATCAAACCACGCTTTAAAAATTACGTTAAATGAGACAACAGCTCTTGAACTGAAGAATTCCTTACTGGGAATGAGTGGAGACACTTAATGAAGCTTGCTCTGGGGAAAATACGAGAATGAAAAATGAAGGCATGGTGCTTTGGTCTGTCTGTTCTTATCCCTGAAGAGATGAGATGTATCAGCATGATAGTACTGCTTCCTCTACACAGAACTGATGCAGATCAATGAGCATGAGAACAGGGGGAGATTTCTCAGCTGCAAGTCATTAGCAGAGAAGTTAATGAACAGCTTAGACCTGACCATCTAATTGCTACCTGTGCCTGTGACCTGGGGTGCAGCCAAAAGGGCAGCAGCTCAACTCTTCTGACTTCTTCTTGTTTAACAAGGCCTACATGGAGACAAAACACCCCTAAACAGAGCTTTATTAAAAGATGATTTCATTTCCTACTCCTCCAAAAGTGGAAATCCTGTCCAAACCTCCCGTTTTCATAACTCACATTGGAGCTATCAAACAATGGGCCCCCAGCCTGGG